AAAACAATTATTATATACAATGAACATATGTACCTACATATAAATAATACACACATTTTGTACGGTCACTTTTATAGAAGTCTTCCTCTGAATAAATTTCTGATCAATTAAAAACTCTTTGAGGTTCATTTTGAACTTTTTGATATCGGAGAAATTTTTAGATCTAGTAGGTAGACAATTGAAAAGTCTTGCTCATGTCGGGAGACTTTTCATAGGTTGAAGTCCTATGTTGCTTAATTTTAATTAAATTTCTTGATCATGTGGAATATCGATGGCACTGAGAATCGGACTCGTGGTCATTCATATTTTTCCACATATAGATCGAACAACCACAGATATCGAACAACCACAGATATAAATTGCTGGGAAAGTCAAAATTTTATTTTGTTCAAATGAGGGCCTACATGATTCGGTTCTAACTAGATTATAGCGTCACTCATCTACTGAATTCATAATGTTCTAAAAAAATTGAAATTTTCATTTATTCATCCTGATTATACTTTTCAGAGTTTCTAGTTTGATAATGAAGTAGTTCCACTATTATAATTCAGCCTGAAGCAGAAGAAATCAATTTGTCATTGGTAAGTAACATTTTGTCCGGTGTTTATGGTCTGAATGAATCCATTTATTCATTTAGATTCGTGATGTACTTTAATGTACTGATATCATAAACTTTCTTTCGTGTTCTCTTCCTCATCCTTCACTTTTGCTATGTCATGGTTTTGCTGACATCCATGGACTTCTTTCTCATTCCTCTAAATTGTTTGTGAAAAGTTTTATTTTTTTGATTTTTACATTTCTTTTACATCTTCTTCGCCTAATTTTCAACATGTCCCTGGTATTCAATTCGAGATATCTGTTCAGTTATCCTCAATATACATTTTTAGTGCCAATCTTACTCTTCTGAAACTAAACATTGGGATGCTTTCTATCTTTACCACTCTACCATATACCTACTTTTCATTCAGTGTCCACAGGAAAATTCATAGCGTATATATATGAACTGGAAAAGTTTATTGGAATATACAAAGAGAGTTCGATGTTTTAATCGTTGGAAGTCGTTCAAATACCGAAAGTTGCTATGAAACTTTTTTTTTTGCTAATTCCTAATCACATAGAAGTTAATGACAATGAAAAAGAGAAAGCACACTTTTTCTTCACAAAATATTCATATAAGTATATATAGCCATAGCAATAGAGATATTTATTGACTATTTATTGGTATATATGTACCTATTGGTATATACATATACCCGTGTTAGGAATCACACGTTAAAAGGTAAGACAGATTTCAAACAGACAGATTTTTTAAACTTGAACGTTTACAGCAAGTCTTTTACCATCCCGGAGTTTGATCTCTCTGATCCATAGATTCGTACCACTCGAATTTCTAATATTGATTCAGTATAATTGATTAGTTCAAGTAGAATGGTTAAAAACTCAAAAATCAAATAGTAGAGATAGACCTCTGATTTGTGCATCAACGTAAAGTCAAGTGCGACGACTGCAATGCCTTATATATATATACATATATATTACAATGTAGGTTTTCACGGATGGTAGAATATGATGTGTTTTTCCGGGTGTTCATCCGTTGTGTACTATTCGATAGTCGACGTTTCGCCATCATCTCAGATGGCATTATCAAGACGAGTTACTGCTTCGCTTCGAGAGGTGTAACTGATNTATTATCACCCTACCCATTCAATTGAAGGCATTAAACACGAGATTGTGAAAAAGCGGTTACTAGTTTATATTCGCTTGAAAACACCTAAGTATTTCGAAAATCGGTGAAATGACCAAAATATTTATAAATGTCCTCTTCAAAGAGTGCACAAAACACCTCAAATATGTGTTAAATCCAACCAAAACACACGTCAGTTGATTAATAACTAATTAGTGGGATATACTTAACCCCCCACAAAGGCCTCTCGATAATCAACCCAATATAATCATTAAACAAGGGATCACTTCACTTGCATTAAGAATTTCAGTTAGAACCTCACTTTATTAATCTGCTTTGTATGTGCTGTACAGGCATTGTGTTTGACCGACTATTTACAATAAACCCGAACTGTTCTAAACAATGTCCTATTGTAGCCGTTACAGATGACAGTGTTACGGGAACATTGGGGATCACTTTGACCCTTGTCTATGGCCAGCCGACCGACAAGTCTCATGACATCACCTTGTATGGGAAAAGGAGGGGATGCAGGATTTGATTCCATTCTCTTCGCAGTTATTGAAGGAGCAGATGAAGTTTGAGTCTTATGTAATGTTTACTGGAGGTGATTTACGCTAGCTTCATCAGTGGGACTAGTACATCAAAATACGATATCTTTCATTTAATAATATACAAAAATAAACAGGTGAACTTAAAAAAAAAGGTACAAAACAGCTAGAAAGACAGTCAATTTGTTAATGCATTGATTATCTACAATATTATACAAATGATGATAATAATAAACATAATAATAATAATACGACTTTATTATTTTATTTTAATGAGCTATATGCACGTTAAATTAACTTATTAATATGTTTTTCGAATCTTAGATCTGAGTCTAATATGACTCCTGAATTTTCGGCTTCATTTACTACAGTTAACAAATTATTTTTTATTTTAACGTTTGTTTGCTGCGTTTTAGCTTAATTATATGCAGAACCAAACAACAATAATTTTGATTTAGTACATTTAATCAATGAGCAGTGATCAGAAGCTGAATCAATGAACGTCGCTAATTCCTGATTTATAATTTCACAAGCATTATCCACTAGTGGGGAGGGCAGGAAAACTGTAATAGATTTGGGTGTCACCTGCATAGACGTAAATCTTACATAACTTCAGAAATTTGATCAAATTGAGAGTGTATATAGAAAAAAGCATTGGGCCCAGGATAGAGCCCTGAGGTTTTCCTGATTTTAGTGTCATATATTTAGATTGGACCATTTCAACTTCTACACACTGCTCCCTCTTACTTAAATAATTTCGTATCAGAAAAACCTATATAGCCCAAAATGTTAAGTAGCATGTCTGTATTTATAGTGTCAAATGCTCTACTGAAGTCTAAAAGAATTAAAATTGTCCATTGACCTTTATCGTAATTATTGTAATTATATCATCTACAATATTAGGTGAGACAGTAGTGCAACTATGACCTTTTCGGAAGCAAAACAGGGACGTCTTGAAAAAACCTAACCTAACCTTCAAGAAAACGTATAGGTAATTTGTAAATATGTTAATTATTCACATTTGATGAAAGCAAGTTTATCAATAGTGACTGAATAAGTTCTTGTTGGTCATTTGCGTTTATTGATTTTTCAGATTACCGGAAATCAATAAACGCTAAGTTCAAATTTCCGTTTAAACGACCAACAAGAAGTTATTCACATAGCACCATTGTTAGTGAAATAAAATGTCATTAAATAACATATACCTATCGCATTTATCAATAACCAGTTTTCCTAGAAGAAATCTTGTATTGTATTTGTTTCTTTGAAATCTGCATGTTTTTCCAAAATCAATCATTCAACCAATCAAGATTTGACATAAAATGCAAATATTTCACGTATTTATAAATTACTTGTATTTTTAGAAGTAATATTGTATTTTTTGGAAAAGAAAGGTTCTGTTTATCTACTTCTTCATCTTGATACAAAATGAATATATGAATATATGATACAAGAAAGGAAAGAAGCAATCAATTCAAAAAATAATTTTATACCAAACATGTGAAGATCATACAGAGTAGTAATTTTCAGACACAAATGAAAAAAAAAATGTCTTGAAACAGCTACTTTCATATAAACATTGAATTACACGTAAGCTCAATACTTTTGAAACTTTTATATGAACACTGAATTCTACAGAAAAACTTTTTTCTATTCAGCTTGTATTCCAAACAATCAATATGGAATTGAATCAGATGTCATACCCAGGATTCCTACACAATATAATAAAGGAAAGAAGTAAAATATCACTTACAGGATACACTGTCATCCTCACTGGTAGATATCCAATGTTTAAAAAAAACACAATTCATTCATAAAATTCAAGACTTTATGTCACGGAATGAGTTTGATCTACTCATGTCATCGATGATATAGTTATGACATGCTTTAGCATATATTTGAATAAAAATTTAATTCACATAATTTGAAAGTTCTTGTATCCTTTTCCTCGAAATGGTTTTCAAAATATTAATTCCAATGAAAGATCTTACTTACATGATCTAAAAAATGTTATTTGAAGTAGGTAATGTATAGTGAAAAAATCATGTAGCATTGAATTTTCATTATCTCAAAGAGGTATTTCGGAGTACAGAGTATGGTGCTAACTAATAGATATACTTAAATTGAGTTCAATTATGTATCTGATCAACCACTTTTACTTTTTATTCATGAATTTCTTCAACACTGCTTCGCTCTGAAAAATAATAATAGAACTCTGAACAAACTTGTTCTTCCTAATGACTATTTATCTCACTGAGGAATTATAAAATTCCGTTAGCCTAATCAATTGTCAAGTACCTAATTGATGCTATCATATTCCCTATGTTGCCAGTATTAACTAATATTAATTCAAAGTAATGAATAATTACATACAAGTACGTTGAAAAACCACACCGGAAAAATTTTTCACGCTTCAAGATTTCATTCAACTCACTCCATAAAGCCTATAGCTATTATTATTTCTTGAAATCACAGTAAACCTCGTTCATGCCTCTCATATACAAACAAAAATTACAAAAACATTTCCAAAACACATCACAATACCCGAGAAAACATGAGCAGGTATTTGGTAAGAATATCATTATTGCTCCTCAACAATAAAAAGATAAAAACCCCATTCTGCGCGAGTAGGGGAAAAAGTTACCAATAGTAAAAAAGGTAGGCGTGTTCGTCCCTTTCTACCGATTCTCTTAAGCCGAAACCACGCCCGCTATCACATCACAAATACGGCATAACCAGTCGGCAGAGCCACAGTGTGATTCTAAAGTTTGAAGAGTGAACATCTAGTTAAGTGATACAGTCAGTATGTACGGTTTTTCTACTAGTGCCATTATGGAAGAATTTCCAAGTGGGCAACAAAGTTCTAACAGTGCCAGCATTGAGGCGCACATCAAGCGGCCCATGAACGCCTTCATGGTGTGGTCCAGAATACAGAGGCGGAAAATCGCTGCGGACAATCCCAAGATGCATAATTCCGAGATATCCAAGAGGTTAGGATCTGAATGGAAGTTGCTGACAGAATCTGACAAGAGGCCGTTCATCGACGAAGCCAAGAGGTTGAGGGCCCTCCACATGAAGGAGCACCCCGACTACAAATACCGGCCGAGGAGGAAACCCAAAGGACCTCTCACCAGTGGCTTGAAACCTGCCATGGGGTTCCCCATGCCCCAGCTGCCGTACCCTTTTCCAGGAATGGATTCTCTGAGCAGTCCGTATCCTTACTTCAACCCTGCGTTCGATTTTTCGAGGATACAAGGTATAAAACACGAAGAACCTTCTTACATTCACCACCAACCCGCCGTTATATCGTCTCCTTACGCAGTTTCTTTGCCAAATTCTTTTTATTCCTCGTTCTATCAGCAAAAAGCTCTGACGACGTCTCCTATGGGTATGTTCTCCACAATGCCTTCGACAATATACTCGACTACCTCGAGTCCAACAACAACTCCATCGACCTCAGATCTGGAAATCCGAAGACCGGTTCCGGTGATGTACTAGAGAATTTGTTGATTTTTGTTGGTGGCTGGAGGGATGTATATGTTGAATATATTTTTTATGTTCGTAGTAACGTAATTTACTTTATCTGTGATCATTTAGTTTAGAATGACTGATTGTATATATATTGTAAAAAAACGTATTTAACTGATAATGTTTAATATTTGTTGATACAATAAAACTTTTGTTTTAAATGAAACCGTATTTTTCTGTGGAAAAAGATATATTTTCAAATTCGTTTGAGTGTTCAACAATGATTCTATTATTTCTATTATGGATTTGAATTGAAACATATTTGGCGAATTGAAATTTGGAAATTTTACGAAATGAATTATTTATATATTCAGTGGGTACCTAAATCCTTTCCATTTCTGAACTATAACCAAATTGTTTTTGGGAAAGAAGAAATCAACAGAATCCAAAATGAATAATGAATGTCATAAATTGCTTAAAACAAAATAACACTTGTTACAGTTGAATGAACTTTGACTTTTCAAATTGAAGGAAAATTATTTATTTGATTATTCAAAGATGATCAATTTATATTTTTTCCCAGAAAGAGAAAATATAAAAATGATTTGAACTATCGAAAACTCTGTTAGTTTCATTAAAGGATAATTATTTATGAAACAATAAATGATATCATCTGCAACTTAACATATGTTTATGAAAATGAGTTTGAATGAAGTGTTTTCATAATTTGACTGGTAAAATGAAATATACCAATATATAGATATCAGATTTATTAAAAAATAATTAGGGAGGAATAAATTTAGCTGATACTACAGAATAACTCAGTATGTATATAGTTGCAGATAATAACTTAAAAAATATATCAAACTTGGTATAAGGAAATGCCAGTTTTTTTCTGGTATTTGTTTGCATTCATAGATAATAAAGTATAAAATAATTCACATCTAACATGTACATAATTCACCGACAGTTGGAATTTTTTTAAAATATTTCATATACGTATATTGAAAAATCTTAAAATAAATAATTAATATTATCATGTAAATAAACATGTTGAGGTATTATAGTGCAAATGAAATGCAAGGTTTGATGAAAACAATGAATTGATGAAGGTACGAGAGCATCATAAAAAATGAGAAATAAATCTTTCTATGTTTTTATACCACTTGTATTTGTGACTTGCAGTTTCAAACGAATACAATAAGCTCGTTGTATTCGTTGTATTCAAACGAATACATTAAACTCGTTGTATACAATAAACTTGTTATATTCGTTTGAAAATATCACTATAGGACGAAACTGCAATAGCGTTAGTTACTAATGCAAGTGGTATAAAAACATTAGTAAGTTTTATTTCTTATTTTTAATTTGACGAAAACGTTCAAAACTACTATCTATAATTTTAGGTTGTCTAATAATAATATGGTGAATAAATGAAGATTCAACTCACGAGGTGGAATTCCACCTGTTAGTGAGCACTGACATAACATAATAATAATAGTAATAGTTCAGTCTTGTGAAAAGCATATAACTGTTAGTGGCAATAAATTGCAATTGTAAATTTCACATAAATTATATCATTTCAGACATATTAGGTACAAACATACATGTAGAGAGAACAAAACACAATATGTAGTACACAGATATCGATATATACACACATACAATGCACAAAATATAAATAAAAAACTAGCAGAGTCAATTACATGGTCAATGGTATGAGAGGTACATAATACTAATATATTAACAAAACGTATCGGATGTAAACATTGTATGGTCATACATTTTCAATAATATTCCTCATTTCTTTACGAGGTGTAGGTATTCACTAACAAAATTTTCAATTTAATTTTGAATTATGGAAGATTGGTTCATTTTGTATATCCTGTGATAATATGACTTGTAAACTTAAGGCCCTAATAATTGGAGTTTTTTGTCCTATTGTTTTTCTCTTGAATGGTATCATATTATTCTTATTGTTTCTTGTAGGCATCATAATTGTTAATTGTCAAATTAGATTTGTTCTTGTATTGTACAATAGCTAAACTGATGAAGTAAAGTTACTAGGGTCAAAAATTCCAGAGTCTCTATATAAAAGGTAACTAGGATAATCATAGTTTTTTCGTAATATACATCTGAGGAACCAACTATGCCATAATTTATATGGGATTCTACGAAGCTCTTATATAGAGTATAATTCTTTGTTCTATATTCAGAATACCTATGACTTTTTTCATTAAGTATTTGATTTGGTGGTCCCATCTGAGGTGGCAGTCTATCATTATACCTAAGTATTTAATTTTTTTTCAGGTTTCATCACGGCTTCTTCAGATACTACAAGTTCGTATTTTGGTAAGTTAACATCAAAGCTACTAAAAGGTAAGTAAAAACTTTTTTTGAATTTGATTGATAGTAGCCTATAGTCAAGCAATTTTTTAACTTCATACATATCTTGTTCAAGTTTGATTTTAAAGTCATACTAATTATAGTCACTACATAAAATTACACTATCGTCCGCAAAACTGATGATTTTTGAGTGGGTTTTTATAAGGAAAAGATTATTCATATATATGTTGAAGAGTATGGGTCCCAACACCGTTCCTTGGGGTACACCAAGAGTTACTTTTTGTTCAACACTAACTTTTTCGGATATATTTACTCTTTGTATTCTGTTAGAGAGGTAACTACAAAAAATATCATATGGTTTGCCTCTTATTTCAAGATCTTCCAATATATACAATATATGTAACAGTATATTGTGATCGGCGGTATCGAACGCTTTTGTTAGGTCTAAGAAAATACCGATTGCTGGCTTAGAACGGTCCATGAAATCATTTATGCTCTGAGTCAGTATTCTTATTGAATTTTGATGGATCTTTTTTCTCTAAAGCCATATTGACATTCCGATATTTCGTATTCTTCAAGGAACGTAACCAAACTTTTCTGTAATACCTTTTCCATAATTTTGGCTGAGCAGGATATTAATGAAATTGGTCTGTAGTTGGTAAAAACTGTATGTAGTTGGTAAAAAACAAATATCTACACATAACAACAAAATTTTTACCTTATAAATAATATTAGACCATAACTCTTTCCTGCACTGATGAGAGGTAATACTTCGAAAGAGATCTGTAGGTGATCTACTCGACTGATTTAGCATGGTTCTGCGGCTGGACGAACGAGAAAGATCTGCAAGACTCACCTCTGTTTGGTATCTTGCATGAATGTCTGTCGTACATAATTCAGTGTCCAACGTGGTATTAGCCGGGGAAGTAGTTGTTGTCAGGCAGGTATTTACCACAACCTACTGTGTAGGTACTTTGGGAGAGACGAATGTTTTGAGATTTCATTTCGAAATATCTCTTCTCGATACAGTATTAAAACTTATAATGTTGAAATTGTTGAATATCATGTTTGCAAGGGTTTACATGGTAAATTGAGGCATATATAAATTTAGAACTTTTTCCAAACCAAATACAAATATGGATAACTGTATAAAATGTAATGAACTCTGCAGAGTTTTCCATCGACATATCGACAAAATCTTCTGGATCAGTCCTCATTCAGAAGTCCAATTTTAGGAAAAGAGCTCAAAAAACGAATTGATTAGGCAGTCAAGTAACACTTCATTGTAAGATTCTCACTTAACAGTTTACAAAACCACAACACGTGTTTCACTATGCATACTGTATGAATACGCCTGATATGGTCAAACATGTGTTGCTGTTTTGCCAACTGCCCATTCAGTTTCAAACGTGTTTACTCGACAGTTCACAAAACGGAAACACGTGTTTCACTATAGGCTATTGTATAGCGAAACACGTGTTGCATATTTGTAATCTGTTCATACAAGTTCAGGCGTAATCATAGAGTATGAACATGCTTCCTCAAACGTGTTCATACAGTACGAACACGCCTGAGATAGCTACTGTAAAGTGAAATATGTGTTACTGTTTTGTGAACTGTTTGTACGGTTTCAAGATTATTCACTTGACAGCTCACAAATCAGAAAAACGAGTTTCACTTTGCAATAAATTCCTCGTACGTGTTCATACTGTATGAACACGCTTAAGGAAGCTATTATATAGTGCAACGCATGTTGCTGTTTGTGACATGTTCATTCACTTTCAGGCGTGCTCACTTGACAAAACGGAAACACGTGTTTCACTATGAGCTCTTGTATGGCGAAACACGTGTTGTATATATGTAAACTGTTCATACAACTTCAGGCATGTTCATACAGTATGAACATGCTCATAGAGTATGAACATGCTCCCTCAAGCGGGTTCATACAGTATGAGCACGTCTGAGAAAGCTACTGTATAGTGAAATACATGTTACTATTTTGTGAACTGTTTATACGGTTTCAAGCGTATTCACTTGACAGCTCACAGATCGGAAAAACGAGTTCCACTGTGCTCGTACGTATCCATACTGTATGAACACGCTTGAGGAAGCTACTGTATAGTGAAACTCATGTTGCGGTTTTGTGACCTGTTCATTCAGTTTCAGGCTTGTTCACTTGACAGTTCACAAAACTGAAACACGTGTTTCACTATAAGCTATTGTATGGCGAAACGTTGCGTCTTGTAAAATGTTCATACAAGCTCACGCGTGTTCATAGAACATGCTTCCTCAAGCGTGTTCATACAGTATGAACAAGCCTGAGAAAGCTACTGTATAGTGAAATACGTTTAACTATTTTGTGAACTGTTTCAAGCGTGTTCAGTTGACAGTTTACAAATCGGAAAAACGGGTTCCACTATTCAATAACTTCCTCATGTGTGTTGATACTGTATGAACATGCTTGAGGCAGCTATTGTATAGTGAAATTCATGTTGCGATTTTGTAAACTGTTCATATATTATTAGGCATGTTCATACAGTATGAACACTACTGAGAAAATTATTGCATAGTAAAACACGTGTTACGGTTTTGAAGACTGTTCATTCGCTTTCAGTTGTGTTGTTCATACAAGTTCAGGCGTGTTCATACAGTATGAACATGCTTCCTCAAACGTGTTACTGTTTTGTGACCTGTTCATACGTACCAACATGAAAATAAAAAATCGCTAATCGAATTTACGTAGCCCACGAATTTGAACATTCTCCTCAATTTTTGATCAGACCTCGTATATTATTTCAAATCCATAATTACAAAAAAAGGCTTTCAGT